TTACCACCCAATCCCCATCACCACCACCCCCCCCCCCTAAAAAAAAAAAAAAAAAGATGCTCTTGGCATTTGACATGTATTAGGAGCAAAACAAAGATCATTTAGCCTCACAGAATTTACTTACAATTTTCAATTTTCTGACAGTGAAAAAAAAGACTCCTTCCTAGTCCAAAACTGTTTCCAAAAACTTCACAAGAAACTTACTCCAGGGGCTGGGGATGTGGCTCAAATGGTAGTGCGCTCGCCTAGCATGTGTGAGGCACTGGGTTCGATTCTCAGCACCACATAAAAATAAAGATATTATGTCCACTTAAAACTAAAAAATAAATATTAAAAAAAAGAAAAAGAAACTTACTCCATTAATTCCAAAGCGTGATCTATTACACATCAATCATTAGCAAACTAAAACCCAATAAATTTTCTTAATACCCCTTCTTTCCAGAAGGAACTGCATTCAACTTTGTCAGAGTTATCAACAAGAATACAAAGAGTAATTTTAATTCCAGCTTTTGCATCTGACCTACTAATAAGCAATAGCAATGAACTGCCACATACTTCATTTGCACACAACTCCTCCTACTAAAGAGATCAATCCTCCCTGAGTCATTCTTGAAACAACACAACAAAACTACACCCCACTGAGAAAACAACACATTCCAAGTTTGGTACTAAACTCCTCTATTTCCCAGTTAATTTCTAGAGTTCACATCTCAGGGGTTGGGGGATAAGTAAAAATATTTTTTAAAAATGCCAATTTCCTACCTTTTTATCCCATGATTATCAAATTGTTCATTATTAGAAAGCAAATAAGGGCTGGGGATGTGGCTAAGCGGTAATATGCTCGCCTGGCATGCACGGGGCGCTTCGATCCTCAGCACCACATAAAATAAAGATGTTGTGTCCACTGAAAATTGAAAAATAAATATTTTTTAAAAATTATTTCGGGGCTGGGGATGTGGCTCAAGCGGTAGCGCGCTCGCCTGGCATGCGTGCGGCCCGGGTTCGAT